ATGGAGGCAGGAACCACATCTTATTCCTTTGAAATCTATTTTCTTTGCTTGATAAAAGAGTTGCTTCAGTGATTGCCTTTGTGTGGCCTAGGGGACCATTAAAGGAGGTAGAAAAGCTCAGAGAAAAAGGGTTTTTAGAGAAAGTTGAAAACATATTGTGCACCTTTATAGACTTCCTTGTTGTCATTCTGGAGGTGGAACCTACGGCCTCAGCACTGGGCAATGCCCCTAACCCTCTTTTATATTTTGGGGCAGGGTCTGGCTAAGTTGCCCAGGCTAGGCTTGAACTTACAATCCTCTTGCCTCAGCCTCCCAGTGTGGTGGGGTCAGAGGGGTGCACTATCATGCCTGTCTAATAGATATAATTTTAAATATATATAATTTAATATATTCCCAGTTGTGATATTGTATATATATGAGTTTTTTTTTTTGAGATAGGGTCTGGCTAGGTAGTTCAGGCTGGCCTCGAACTCATGGCACTCCTCCTGCCTCAGCCTCTCGAGAGCAGGGATAACAGCCTTGAGCCACTAGACCTGGCGATAATATATATATATATATATATATATATATATATATATATATATATATATGAACACATTCTGTCAGTCACTTCACCAAAAGGTCCCTTTCGACTATGTCCTGTGTGAAGGAGCAGTTGAGAAGCCTGTGGGAGACTCCGTGGGGCATGAGCTGTACACCCCTGAGGCCTAGGGCAGGGCCAGGGCTGCGGTTTCGGACACTGCAGACTGGAGTGGGAGGAGGAGAGGGCTCTGTCCACCTCAGGGGGCTGTGGAGAGGAAGAGAAGGCCCAGAAGGAGAGCAAGAAAGTGCCTAGAATAGAGTTCTGGAAGCCAAGAGAAGTTTGAAGCTGGTGGTCACCAAACGACTGCTCTCCCAGGGGCTTGGCAGTTGGGAAGCCGCAGGTGGCGTTGGGCAGAGCAGCGTTAAGTACGCTTGAGTGCTGAAAGGAGGAGAGGAGAGAGCCAGGAAAGCTAGCTAGTGTACCCTTTTGCCTTTGAGTTGAGGTATAGCATACCTGTGGAGCGTGAGGGAATTTTTTCTTTGCGGTGCTGGGGTTCAAACACAGGGACTCTTGTGCTTTAGCAGGTGCACAGGCATGGGGCTACAGCCTGACCCCATGAGGGAATTTCAACAAACTAACCATGCCAGTGTCCCGAGGCACTTGACGCCCTCCCTGCGAGCCCTTGTCACTCCCCAGCTTGCTAAGGGTGTGCACTGTTTCTAACCACAGTTCACCTCTAAAATAAATTTGTCCCTGGAGAGAGGTAGAAGGATAAGGCGGGAGAGAGGGAATTAGGATGGGAGGGCATTAGTTGTGGGTAGTTTTTTTTAATTTTTGAGACAGGGTGTAGCTGTGTAATTCAGGTTGGTTTTAAACTCACCATGTAGCCCAGGCTAGCCTCGAACTCCCAGTGATCCTCCTGCCTCAGCCTCCCAAGTGCTGGGATTACAGGTGTGCACCACCCTGACTGGCTTGGGACAGATTTTCTTGAATGTAAATAAATCTCGTGGTTTTCTCTAGTGAGTGGCTAGTCACACTATTTCTTTTTATATTTTGGATAATTTTCATTTCTTTCTTTAAAATGTTCTTTAAAATAAGTGTGTTGAGAATTTATGCTATACTAACTTAACTTGAGTAACTGTTGCCTATGCATCTGCTTGTGACACCATGCTTTTCTAAACTTGCCTTATTCTGGGAACAGATTCTTGGGCCCTTTTTAGATTTCCTGAGGTAGATACTTAGAGGGAAGGTGCTGGGTTATGTGCTTCTAAAATGCTCATCAGTGATTGAGAAACCTCTGTGTGCAAAGATCTTTTATTGAAAAGGAAACTGGTCCATATTTTATTTTTCATCTTATTTATTAGTCCATGTTTGTGGTAAATAATGCTTACATTCCTTGTGTGGAGTTGGTCCATGTACACAGCACATCTGAATTCCTTTTTCTTCATCCCCTCCTCCCTCTCCTTCCATCTCTTAATTCGGTATTTACAGCAGCACAATTCACAATAGCTAAATCTTGGAAGAAGTCCATATGTCCGTCAGCAGATGAATGGATAAAGAAAATGTGGTGTTTACACATAATGGAGTACTACTCTGTCATCAAGAAGGATAAACTTAAGTCATTTATAGGAGAATGGATGCACCTTGGGACCATAATGTTAAGTGCAGTAACTCAGACACACAACCTTAAATATTGCAGGGTTTCTTATAGGAGAAACCCGGAGTAAACATACAGAATATTAGAAATGATAGGTAATAGGGAGTGGGGAGATAGATTGTTGTCACAGGAGAAGGGGACCGTGTTTCACATGAAAGCTCTAGTAAGAGAGTAGGTGTATAATTGTGGTAGAATACAGGGCCGCCCTTAAACATGGGGGCGGGCTTCCCCTGGGTACTCTGTAGAGGTGACAGAGAAAGCAAGGTGTCAAGGACTGGAGCTCCACCATTCATGAGAGTCTCGGACTAATTCTGGGAGAATCTTATTTAGCTTGAGCTTTTTTGACTTTAAAGCAGTGTTTTGGGGACACAGATTCTGATCAGTGAGCTACAGATTTTGGGCTGTCCACTACAGACAGGCCACGTCCACTTGCCCTTTTACTTGCAAAGCAAAAATAGTTTCACCTTCTGAGTACCCATTATGATCTGAGTGTTTACGGCCTCCCCAGATTCATGCCTTGGCTGTGTCCAGGAATTTCCACTTGCTGTCGGACCTCATGGACAAGCTCAGTCTTCTGCTGAGCCTTGTTTAGAATACCAATGGGCTGAGGTTTGTGCTTGTACGGTCTCTACGGGCAGGGACCACACCCGTGGAGTGTACCTGACATGGAGCAGGTTTACAGCAAGTACTTTTTTTGAAATGAAATTCTAAGCTGGGCATGGTGGCTCAAGCCTATAATCCCAGCACTTGGGAGGCTGGGGCAGGAAGATTGCCATGAGTTCAAATCCAGCCTGGGCTACATAATGAGCCCAACCTGAACTACACAGTGAGATCCTGTCTCAAAAAATAAAAGAAAACAAAACCAAAATAACTTGAGACAGTCCAACACATTGGAGTCCTTCCTTTGAGAGCCCAGGCAGCTCCGTTGCAGGAGGGCCACCCAGTAACTGACAGAAGCTTTGGATCTCATCCACAGCTGAGTGTGCACTGCAGAGTGAGCCTGACTTTGATCTAGTCACCTAGGCTGTGTGTACCTGTAATCCCAGCTACTTGGAGGATTAAGGCAGGAGGATGAAATTTTTGCAGCCAGCTTGGGTGATTTAGCAGTAGCCTCTCAAAATAAAAAACAAAAAGAGCTGGGGATGTAATTCAGTGGTAGAGCACCCCTAGATCACCCCCTAGTACTGTAAAAAAAATAAGACAAAAAAGCCAACCAGAAAAAAAAAGCAGAAAATGTTGGAGAATAGGTGTACATTGTGGGGTGGCTAAATCGCACTAACGTGTGCATCGCCGCACATGCTCACCACTTTGTGGAACTAGAAATGTTGAACTCAGAAGCAGAGAACAGAATAGTGGCTCCTAGGGGCTGCGGTGGGGCTTGAGGAGATGGTGGTGAAAGGACAGAAATCCTCAGTCAGTCAGGTGTGCTAGCCCATACCTACATTCCTAGCATTGGGAGAATTGCTGCCCTGGGCGACATTGAGAGACCCTGTCTCAAAATACCAAAAAAAAAAAAAAAAATCAAAGAAAAGAAAAACATTTTCAGTTAGGCGTGAGGAATAAGTGCAAGAGATCAATTGTGCAGCCTAGTGATTATAGTTAATAACGTGTTGTACTGAAAGTTGCTGAGAGTAGGTCTTAAATGACCTGTGAGTTTCTGATGTGGTCATCACCATCCATGAGAGAGAAGTAGACAAAGAAGGGCAGGTCTGAGGGAAAGCTGGCAAGTTGGGTTTGGACAGGTCCAAAGATTTTTTTAAAAAACATATAGATAATTTTGTCTTTTTTTTTTTTTTTCCTCTGGTACCAGGAACCGAACTCACGACCTTGCGCTTGCCAGGCAGGCGCTTTGCCGCTGAGCTAAATCCCCAGCCCCCACATAGATAATTTTGATGTCTGTGCTCAGCCATGTATATTTTTTTACGTGCAGAGATAGGTAGAAAAACTTAACAACTTTTTGGAAATTAAGATAAAGTTGACCTGAAATTTTAAGTCTGCAAGGACATGCATCTTAGGTTCTGGCTTCCTCAGAACTTCAGGAATGCACTCAGGGCAGGAATGGCTGAGGCTCCGAATGTGCTCATGTCTTTTTTATGAGTATGTGTTTGTGATAGGTAGTAGATACATTCATTGTGGGGAACTGGTACATACACATATCACATCTTGGTCCCTTTTACTTCCCTTCTTTCCCCTGCTTCTATCTCCCCCATCCTCAGATCCCCTGCCCAATCTTTCAAAGAACCATCTCTTAGATTCATTGATCCTTTGTAGATTTTTAGTCTCATTTTCATTAATTTCCTCTGATATTCGTGATTTCTTTCCTCCTAGTAGTTTCAGATTTGGGTTGTCTATCATGAGATTACCTGTTTGGGATCGCTTTATTTTTATGTGCACATTTATAGCTATAACCTTCCCTCTTAGAAGGTTTCCCTTCTAAGGGAACCTTGTAAGGGTTAACCTTCCCTCTTAGATGCTTTCTTTGTGGCCCAGAGGTTTTGGTATGTTGTGCCTCCATGGTCATTTGATTGTAGGAACGTTTTTATTTTTCCCTTGACTTGCTCTGTGATCCATTGACTATTCAATAACATATTATTTAACCTCCACGTGTGTGCATTGTTTCTGTGGCTTCCTTTGCTCCTAATTCTGCTATGAGCCAATAGTGTGCAGGGGATTATTTCAATTATTTTGTATTTATGTGAGCATGCTGTATGGCCTAAGATGTGGTCTACCTTGGAAGAAGTTCCGTGGGCTATTGAGAAAAATGTATACACACTTGTTTTGAAGCTTAGAAGGAAGTTTAAGATTGTTTCTGCATTTCAGGTACTTCAGAAGTCTGTGGGCCCGGCCAGCCTGAGCTTGCTCACCTTCAGAGTCTATGCTGCACCAAAAAAGGACTCACCTCACAAACACTCCATGAAGGTCGATGAGGTAACACACTATCCATGTGGCAATGTGTTGTGAACACCTGATTTAATACTTCAGGGGAGTTTCTATAAATTGTGTATCAGGAAGATAGATTTTTTTAAAAAAATTTTTAATTTTTGTGGTATTGTTACCAGATTCTGGGGTCTTGTGAATTCTTTCCAGGGATTCTTTCTAGGTTCTTGTCCTAAACAAAGATATGGACAAGACACACAAAAACGGTAGTGAGGTTTTACCTTTATTACAGGTAGGAAGAGAAGTATGCTCTGCAGAGTGAATTGGGCCATCTAAAGGTAGGAAAAGAAGGACCTCTGCAGAATGAGAGCAAGACACTAGAGAGCTCACAGTGGCCAGGAGGTTTATGGCCAAAGTCTTTTGGATCCCTCAGTCTCCAGGCTGATATCAGACTAGGCTGTCCTATCAAAATCCTGCTTGATCTTGTGTCAGAAGAATTGAAGATGGCACTTTCTGATTGGTCCCAGGTACAAGGCTGGGAACTGTATTGTGTGGATCTCTGTGGTTGACAGGCCACGTCCACTTGCCCAGCCAGTTCACCACACCCTAATCTTGGCCCTCAGTTCTGGAGATGGTGCCCAAGGCCTTGTCACATGATAGGCAAGCACTCTACCCTTGAGCTACATCCCCAGCCCAGTTAGAAGATATTTAAAAGGAGAAAATATATTTCTTTATATATAATTTGTTTTCTTTTTTCTTTTTTTTTTGGTACCGGGAATTGAACTCAAGACCTCATGCTTGCCAGGCAGGCACTGTGCTGCTGAGCTATCTCCCCAGCCCTAGAATTTGCTTTCTTTGTGGGAAGTTACTAAACTATGGCTTTTCAGCAGATGAATTCTTTTAATGATTTTTGCCGAGGTCATAATTAAGTAATATTTTATAGATATTTAGTGGGGAACTTGGTATGTCTCAGTAGATTATAAGCACAAATCAGTATTCTCAGTGACCTGCCTGGTTCTGGACTGCCTTTTTTTTCTGGACTCATAATTGAGACACAAAAATATTCATATTTTTCTCTCTCAAAGAAATTTCAGAGTTGCGTTCTCACTGCTTCTTAGCTGGGTTAGAGGCTCATAAATAGATACTTAATACACATTAAATAAATGAAACAAATCTTCATTGCTTACATTCTTTTTTGCCTGTGTTTCCCACTGATTATTTGGATATTTGATTTCTTTGCTTTTGAATAAAGTGATATGCATAGCTACCTTCAGTCCCAGGTGGAGTTACTTGAACTGTGTTTATGTGCAGCTAATTATCTTTGCCCTTTGCCCTCTTCTCAGGCCTTGGGACAGAGGCATGTGTGTGACAAAGGCAGCCAGGGGAGGCTATGGGAGGTTTGTGCTCTAGGTGCAGAACAAACCTGCTCTCCTACTTTGATCAGCACCACACTGATCATCACGTGAACTATGCAACGAGTTATTCTTTAGCTACTCTAACATTTTTATGTTTGTTTCTGGTTTTTGAGACAAGGTCTCCCTGTGTAGTTCAGGCTGGCCTTGCACTCTCTAAGTAGCCCAGGCTGGCCTCAAACTTATAGTGATCTTCTAGCCTCAGCCTCCCGTGTGCTGGGATTACAGGTGTGCACCACCACACCCGGCCTTTCAAATTGTTTTAACTCCCCTTCACTCACACTTTAGAGTCCTAGAATCCGTTTTCCAAACTAAATCTGAGGGAGGATACCAGATACCAGCATATAAAAAGGGGAAAGGGCACTTTGTTTGCTAGCAGCAGAGGGGAAGGGGATGGGACACCTTACAGCCCTGCCCTCTTGGCCTTGCCTGTAGTTTTTCTTGGTACTGGGGATTTTTTCCCCCTGGTACAGGGCCTCACACATTCTAGGCAAGTTACCCCAGACCTGTGTCCCAGCCCTTTTTATTTTTTCAAATTTTGAGACAGGGTCTCACTAAGTTGCTTGGGCTGGCCTGGAACTTATAATCCTCCTGCCTTAGCCTCTCCAGTAGCTAGGATTACAGGCATCTACCATCATGGCTGGTGACTTGTCTTTATTGATTAAGGGAGCAAAATGCAAAGATTTTCTGAAATATGGTCATAGATCCCACGTAACCTTTAGGGTCACAGTAATTTATGAACTATGAGAAATATTCTAATTATAAATCTGATCATTTTTGATGTGATCTCCTCACTGTGCTTTCTTCTTTTTGTTTTCATGTGTACAGCTGTCACTCTACTCAGTTCCTGAGGGTCAGTCTAAATACATGGAGGAGCCCAGGACTCAGCTTGAAGAAAGCATCTCACAGCTCCGACATCACTGTGAGCCATATACAAATTGGTGCCAGGTACAGCTGCTGAGAGTCAGTAATGAAAAGTCTGTATTCAACTGCATATTTTTGGGAAAAAGGCATAACAAAGGGCCCCAAGTTAAGAGTGTTCAACTTACAGATGTTCATTGGTGCCACTTGGAGGGTGATGCCCTCGCTTCCTGTTGCCATAGATGGCAGAGAGAGCACTGATCACTACCTTGTTAGTGATGGCTCTGCAAACCTCTTGTCTGCCACGGAGGATGTGGGACCCTCATGGAAGGAAAGAACTGCAGTGTAAGCGTTTAGGTCAAAATTGAGATGATCTCCTGGCTGCAGAGATTGTGCATATCAGTGCAGGCTGAGCACCCTAACCGGGGAGCACTTTGGATTTTTACATGAGGGACACTCAACCAGTAGTCTCTGTGAATATTCTGAAATGGAAAAAACTTGCCAGGCCTGGTGGCATACACCTGTAATCCCAGCACTCGGGAGGCTGAGGTAGGAGCATTGCTGTGAGTTTGAGGCCAGCCTGGGCTACACAGTGAGTTTTAGGCCAGCCTGAACTACATAGTGAGAGTCTGTATCAAAACAAAACACAACCAAAAACCAAAGAGGGAGCGGGACTCTGAAATCTGAAGCACTCTGGTCTCAAGCACTTCAGATAAGAGATACTGAGTCTACACCACTCCAAACAGGAATGGTTATGAAGCATTTTGAAATCTATAATAGGAAGCCAGATGCCAAAATGCGGTGGAGTTACATACTTGAGAGCTGAACTGTTTGCTCTCGTGACCAAAAAGGACTTTAGGTACTTTAGATTGGCTTTTCTCCCTGCTCTTAAGTCAGGCATTCGTCATGACAGGAGGGAAATCATTTCTGTGAGTTTTCACATCCGCAACTGAAGTTTGCAATCTACAGGGTGTTTTTGTAGGCTTTAATACATGTTTGCTGGGTCTTGATCTTGATTTTTAAAATTGAGGACAGATGAGTAAAAGCTAATATGTAGATGTGTGCAAAATAGTCCAGATTTACCTTACTTGAGATATACAGATTCAGCACTCATTCAGGACATTTACATTTCCACAGTCTGTGCCACTGCTGAACTTTTGTTCACCAGTTGAGAAAAAAAAATTGTATGCATGAGCGTTAACAGCAGTAGGAAATAGAAATTATACCTAAGTGAGTTGTGAAATACTTCAAGACTTCCTGCAGTCATGTGCTGTAAAATGTTTCGACTTTATCCTCTTCAGCTGCCTGCTGGTAATTAAGATTGGTAAGGGGCTGGGGTCTAGCTTAGTGATAGAGTTTGTGCTTTGATGCACAAAGCCCTGAGTTCAATCTCCAGCACCAAAAAAGAAAAAAAGGATTAAGCCAGCAAATGTATCAAATGTATTTTGTGCCATGCCAGCATGATCACTGATTTGCAGTCTGTCTGTCTGTGCAATTGGTGTTGACAAAGAGAACCGGGGCCTTGCATTTGCTAGGCATGTGCTTTACCCTGAGCTACACCCCATGCCTGATTTTATTTATTTATTTATTTTTGAGACAGGATGTTGCTATGTAGTTCAGGTTGGCCTTGTACTCACTGTGTAGCCCAGGCTGGCTTCGAACTCAGGTCAGTCCTTCTGCCTCAGCCTGCCGGAGTGCTGAGATTACAGGTGTGTACCACCACACCCAGCCTCCAGCTTGATTTTTTTTGGTAATAAAAGTATTTTGTTTTTTCACCTTTCAACCTAAAGGTTTGTTTTTAATTTTTTCTTTTGTGCATGATATTCAGTGCAGCAGAATACCTCTTTGGATAGTAAATTAGTTATTGACATGTTTATTTGTACTCCTACATAAAAAAGCTTTCTTGTAATTATGGTTTTATTTTTCTGGGTAGAATGAAGTTTTTGTGCTTTCTGCTTTCTGATTTCTGGTTTCTGGCTCCTTTTTCAGACCAGCAGTTTCTAGTACTTTTTTTTTTTGAGACAAGGTTTTGCTATATAATTCAGGCTGGCCTTGGACTCAAAGCAATCCTCTTGCCTCAGTCTCCCGAATTGTGGGATTACAGGCATGTGCCACCATGCCCAGCTTCTAGTCCTTTTCTGAATAGCTAATTTATTGTTTTAATATTAAAATGATGAAACTAGCAAAAGAGTGAGCTGTCATTCTAGATGTCAATCTGTAGGTTTTTGTTTTTTAAAGGGTAAAAATAATAGTGAATTTTAGTAAAGCGATGTTAAGTTCTTTATGTTTTCCCCCAAATTTAGCAGGGGGCTAATGTGTTCTGACTTGAACTGAATTACATCAAACAAATCCTTTTCCAAGTGGCAGCTAGTTCTGGCACCACTCTATCTTTTTCTGTCTTCACTGTATTGTTCTTGAAGGTAGGTGCCTTCTAGCTAGTGCCTTGTTCATTTGGGATCATCTGGTGTTCATGTACAAAGTCTTTAAATTGTTGCTCTTAACAGAAGGTCACTACTCCGTTTGCTTCCGGTTGGGGCTTCTCCCCCAACCAGAGTTACTGACCACTTTGTCCTGTGAAAGTGGGTCACTCCTGCTTCAAATGGGCACTTTCCAGATGTAGGCTGTGACATAGTGGCAGACAGGACTTCCTCAGAAAGATTTAACCTCCTGAGAAGAGGCCTGCCACCATAATTAGAAGGCAGCTGATTTTGAGTCTGTTTCCTTCCATTTGAAGAGAAGTGAGGGAAAGCTGGGCCGCTGAAACTGCTCTGCTCAGAATCTTTGCATCCTGTGGCAATAGGAAGCCATTCTGCTGAGCACTTTGCAATGAAGGGGAAATTACAAAAGAAAAAGAAGCCAGACCTACGAAACAGAGAGGATACATCCCTTTGTTTAGATGTTCTCCTAGCTGGGGTGCAGCTCACTGGTAGCGTGCATGCTTAGCCCGCCCAGGCCGGGGTTGGAAGACCAGCAGCCAGACAGCAACACGTTAGTAGCTTGATAGTTTGTTCAGTAAAGATATGTTCTAACCAGCAAATTCTACTTATTTCATTTTTTACCTTTTTAGGAAACGTACTCCCAAACTAAACCCAAGATGCAAAGTTTGGTTCAGTGGGGATTAGGTAAGTTGATTTTTAGTTAGGCAAATCTGTTATTTGATTAACATTGAACTGTTTGACTGAAGTTCCTTGAAAGGCTCTGTAGATCTGTGGATTCTTTAGAATTGTAGTCACAATTGTTTTATTTTGTATTTTGACATGGTCTTACTGTGCAGTTCAGGCTAGCCCTAAACTCACTGTGTTGCCCAGGCTGGCCTCAAACTCACAGTGATCCTCCTGCCTCAGCCTCCTGAGTGCTGGGATCATAGATGTGCACCATCACACCTGGCTTATACTCACAATTTTAGAGCTATGCACATTTTTCTGGAAAGAAGATCTCTTGTTTTCATCAGATTTTGGAGGACTAGCATCCTCTAAGTGTATTCAACATGAATAGGATTATTGGGTGGACGAGCATAGACACACTGGAATTTTTTAGGTGGGGGAGGGTTTTGCTGTATACTGCAGACAAGATACACTGAATTTTTTAAAAAATCAATTTCCAGGTATATTGTAGTACTGCACACTAACTCATCAATAGATTTTCAAAATAGCTTGTTTGCATTGCCATAGTGGTGTTGAACCTATGGTATGCATGTTACTGCATTTTTCTTTTCAGATAAAAGATGTTAATGTGTGAGTTGTTTTTTCTAAGTTGAAACCTCAGTATTCAGATTTAATTACAGTGTTGATACTTTGCGATAAATAAGTGGGTTTGGGGTTGCAGTTTGGGCACTCGTCTCTAAAAGGTTCCCCCTCACCACCATAGAAGTTTAGGAGCAGGAAGGAACTGGTCTGAGGTGTCTGGGAAAAGTCCTGTTGCACAATTAGCAGTGTTCCCACTTTTCTTTCTTTCTTTTTTTTGGGGTGGTGGTGGTACAGGGAATTAGACCCAGGGAGCACTGGGGTACATCCAAGCCCTTCTGGTACAGTAATTTTATTTGGAGAGAGGGTCTCACTAAGTTGCCCAGGCTGGCCTCAAATTTGTAATCTTCCTGCCTCAGCCTCCCAAGTAGTTGGGATTACAGGTGTGTGGCACCATACCTGGTTCATGTGGTTTTTATTGTCCTTGATTGTTTCTCCCCCGTGGGCCACTTATCACACATTGGAGACCCCTGCAGTGGGCTCCAGTCTCCTGCCATTATGGCGCATGGCGAAAAGAAAGAGCAAGAGACAAAATAGGGGTGCAGCAGGGATCTGAGATGACCAGATGTTCACAGGGAACAAAAGGCCACGAGACAGACAGGACCTTGGTATTTATTGATTATGTCCATGTCAAGGACAATGGGTGAAGGGCAGTGGGTGCTTCCGGGAACAGTAATGGCAGCTGTGGTGGGCTAGGAAGAGCAAAGTATTCTTGCGAGGATGAGACAGGGAGGCAATAAGGAAGCTGTAGTTTCCCCAGGTGCCTCATCGTCCTCAGCAGGTCTTGTCTTGCTCTGTAAGTGCCATAGTACCACTAGCCACAGGGCTTCAGCTGTGACCAGAAGAAAGCAGGGAGTTTCTGAGTTCTAGTCTGGCTCAAAGGGCAGGACAAGGATGACCTCAGACATCCCCTAGACTCAGTTTATAATGTGTGGTCCCCGACAGTCACATGCACTCATAAACTGAGTTCACGGTCTTCTATTTGGACTAATCTCAGTCAGGAACTTGTAAATTAGTACAAATACCGATCACACTTCATTCCCCTTAATGAATGTGGTGACAAGTGAAAATCTTGTTTTTACAAGGGTTCGTTTTCATGATGGAACAAAACAAACATGACTGCAGAGGTCTCATTGTCACTCATGTTGTTGGCAGTACTGGCTTGTTCTTTTCTTCTCTTGGACCCAGAGTTACTGCAGGCGCAAGCAGAAACCTTCCATGAGGAGGTGTATGGTTGTTGCCAAGTGTGTTACTTTTCTCATTGCTGAGACAAAATACCAGACCCTAAAGTTAAAGGAAGAAAGGCTTATTTCAACTCACAGGTTGTAGAGGTTTCAGTCCATAATCAGCTGACTCCAAGGCAGGGTGGCATGGCAGAGGAGAAATGGTCTATAGTGGGCAGAAGGCAGGAAGGCAGCAAAATGGCAAAGTAGGGAGGAAGCGGTAGTAGCAGCAGCAGCAGCAGCAGCAGCAGCAGCAGCAGCAGCAGCCTGCCTCTCCCTTTTATCCTTCCCAGGCTACTTGCCCTTTGGGTGGTACCACCCAAGCCCAGAGTGGACCTTCCTATTACTCACACCCAGAGCTATGCCAAACCAATCAGTGGACTAATTTAGTTGTCATACACCCTTAATCCCAGCAAGCATCTGCACTCTGTCTAGATCCAGCCACTTCTGAAAAGCCCCACCTAGACACATGCCATCACACTAAGGCTGAGACCATTCCCAGTGGTGAGCACTCAGGGTGCTAGTGGAAGCTGGGCTTCAGCGTCCAGTGCAGTCTCAGAACAGCATCTCTCTCTTTGCTTTGCTTTGTGATGACCTCATTGGTTCCGCTCACCACAGCCGTCTGCGGCCTCATGTCCACTGCTCCCTGAGCCTGCCTAGAATTATGCAACGCTGTGCTTGCAGTTAGGCAGAAATAAAGGGAAGTCCACAGTTGCCTGACATGACCCAGAGGAGAAGGTGGAAAGTAGAAACTAGGTTAAAGGCAAAAGAAGTAAAAGACCAGATAGGAATTAATGTAAACATAGTGCTGGCTTTAGACTTGTGTTTAAAATGATTGCCGAATTCTCCCCCAAAAACTCCAGGAGTGGGAAATAGAGACATCTGCGGTATTGTCTGAAGGAGAGGATTACTGCATAGTCTAGTTGATGAGTTCAGTTCACCATACATAAAGTCACCATCATGCCTCAATTGAAGATCAGGGTTGACTAATGGTGATCACAACCACTGAGATACATTAATAAATTATTCAATACTCGGTCAGGTGAGCCGGGTGTGGTGGTGCATGGCTGTAATCCCAGTACTCAGGAGGCTGAGGTAATAGGATCGCTGCAAGTTCAGGGTCAGGCTAATGAGTTCCAGGCCAGCCTGAACTACACAGTGAGATCTTCTCTCTCTCTCAAAAAAAAATACTAAGTTGGGCATGGGAGTGCACGCCTGTAATTCCAGCTCTCAGTAGGCTGAGGCAGAAGGATCACTGTGAGTTTGAGGCCAGCCTGGGCTACGCAGTGAGTTGATGGCCAGCGAGACATTGTCTCAAAAAAAAGTACTAGTGGAAGTAGAAGAGAATCACAGACCCACTACTGAAGGTACAGAGGCAGTTGAATAGAGACTGAAGAGATGGGAGCAGTCGGGAACAGATTCCTAGCTGAGCAAGGGAGCAGCGTTAGCCCCAGTGCACTGTAGGGGCATGACCGTGGTGGGGTTGGGCTTAGAGGGAGGGCACAGGTTTGGGTGTTGGACTCCTCCCACACACTCACTTTGGGAAGATAACGTATAAGTCAGCATCCCTTTGTTAAGGAGCTTGTGTTCTCAGTAGGAAGACATAAAATGCACACCTGAGCCAGTGGTGGTACACACCTGGAATCTCAGCACTCTGGGAGGCTGAGGCAGGAGGATCTCAAGTTCAAGCCCTACCTGGGCAGCCTAGTGAGCCCCTGTCTCAAAAAATTAAATTAAAAAGGCTGAGGCTGGGGCTCGGTTGTAGATCACACCTGGGTTTGATCCCCAGTACCAAATACAGACACACACACACCTGAATAATTAGCTGCAAGGTACGATAGGGTTGGGTACCAAGTGGTGGTGCTGATGGGAAGTTAGGGGAGGAGGACAGGTCTGGCTGATGAGCTTAGGAAAAGCTTTCCTGAGGAGACAGAGCTGAAACTAGCTCTTATTTGGTGAGGTTGGCTCAGTGGAGAGGAGAGGAGGAGAGGGAGCAAGTGGCTTAATGCATATAGGGTCACAAGGCATGCTGAGGCATGGTGAATATACTCACTTGTTTGTTTGATTGATTGATTGATTTTTGAGACAGCGACCTCACTGTAGTTCAGGCTGGCCTTGAACTCACAGTGATCCCCCTGCCTCAGCCTCCTGAGTGCTGGGATTACAGGTGTAAAATAGCCACCGTGCCTGGCTGGTTTTATCCTGACTGTCACAGTTGACAATAGCTGTTTCCCATGTAAATTCATACTATAAGTTTCCTTCTTTAGCCAGATTTATTGTTCTTATGTTCAGGTAATGAGCTCAGATAGCAAAGGATACTTACTTTTTCTGAAGCTAATGTATTTGGTTCTTGAAAGAATGTGTAGAAAAAAATATATTAGCAGAAAATAAAGAGTAAATGGCTTAAGAAGCATTTGATACTATATAGTGTATATTGTTTTGTTTTTAATGGGTTGTTTATAGAACTCATCAGATTTCCTCATCTGATTCTCTTGCAGACAGCTATGAATATCTCCAAAATGCTCCCCCAGGCTTTTTTCCAAGACTTGGTGTTATTGGTTTCGCTGGCCTTGTTGGACTCCTTTTCACTAGAGGTGCGTGCGGTTTTCTAGGTTCTTTTTAATAGTCTGTGCATATGGGAGAGATAGGGTATCTGTTTGATTCTTTACTGTCAATTAACACTTTTCAGAATAATGAATTGCTTCCTTAATACATAACTAGCATGGTTGTTTACTCCCTTACATTTGTCTCTAAGCATATATAGAAATTGTATACTCTTGGTAAAGAAGAAAGAAATTCATCGCCCTTAATAATAAGCACATTTACTTGTTTAAATCCCTGTTGCTCTTTGGTACAGAAAGAGTGAACTTTTGTTCAGTCTTTTACACTGGAGAAATAAACTGCTTCTAAATGTTTCAGGCTATGAGTCACAGTAAATAGTAAATAGTGGTTTCATACAAAATTTATTAACCTCTTGATGTGCCATAGCTTAGGGCAATGGTAGTATAAAAACTCTTGAAGTCCTTAGATTTTAAAGCTAAAAGTCAGGTTGGTGGTGCATGCCTCCAGTACTTAGGAAGCTGAGGCAGGAGGATCATGAGCCTATGGTGACATTAATTTTTTATGAACTGCATAAGTACTTGAAGTTTCAATAATTATGAAATAAATGTTTATGGTGTAAAATTCAGATGTTACAAAAATTCCTAACAGAGAAATTCCCATAAAGAATCCTGTAATCTGTTCTTGATAAAAGTGAACCATAGTTTGATAGTTATTCCTCCAATTTTAGAACTCCTCCCTCCTGATGCATCCATCAAGTGTTATTTTAGGATGTGGAGGGCAAGCTGGGCATGGTGGTGCACACCTGTAATCCCAGCCCTTAGGAGGCTGAAGCAGGAGGATCGCCATGAGTTTGAGGCCAGCCTTGGATACATAGTGAGAATCTGCCTCAAAAAAAAAAAAAAGAATAGGGAATGTGGAGAGTGAAAATTGCCCTTGTGCCACTCCCAGCTCACCTCACAGTGTCTGTGTCCTCCCCCTGTGTTGTGCAGAATACAGAGAATTAAATTTGTGGTTCAATTTTAATAATCAGTTTATGAACCAACATTTTCTCATACTTCTCTTCCACCTTTTTTGAGGGGAGGGCTGTACTGGGGATTGAACATGGGGTCTGAGCAATAAGTCTATGTCCCCAGCACTTTTTATTTTTATTTAGAGACAAGGTTTCACTAAGTCACATAGTTACCCATAGTTATCAAACTTGTGATCCTCCTGCTTCGGCTTCCCAGAGTGCCAGGATTACAGGCACCTGCCACGTGCACAGCTAGACATGCATCCTCCTAGGCACATGTAGGCAACAGCAAGTCTTCTCCTCTGAGAAGGGCCTCTGAGGTGAGTTGCGTTAGAGGGTTTCCCAGAGGAAGAGAGTGGGCCGGTAGGTCAGACACATCTGCCAAGTACTAACGAGGATGGGCGGTGAGTCCCCTCTGCCAGTGCTAAAAGTCTCAGCCTACGCTCATGGTTTCTTGGGAGGTGTGGCGGAAGGATGGGTGCAGACCTGTGATCACACCTCCTTCCGGGGGCCTGGGCCTCCCTTACTGTGTGGACCAGCGATGCTGGAGGCCCCAGAGCTGCCATGTTGGCTTGCCCTGGAGGGTTGGTAAGTGCTAGGGCACTTCCAGCCGGTAGGCGAGGCCCTGGGGAGTGGGCTTTTCTCTTCTAGGGCAATTGTGCCTTTCAGTGCAGGCAAGTAGGACTGTGAAAGAAATAGTGTATTCATGGTCTGGGTCGATGCTATTCTTCTCAGGAGCCCCGGTTTCATCTTTGGGGATTTATTTACCATAGGCTCGGCAGTATTGCTCAGTGGTAGAGCACTTGTCTACTGTGCAAAGCTCTGGGGTGGATCCGTAGCACCACAAAAAAAAAATTCTTTTTAAATAAAAATAAAATTTAGGCAGAGGTGGTGCATGTCTATATTCCCAACACTCTGGGAGGCTGAGGCAGAACGATCACAAGTTCAAGCCCAGCCTGAACAATTTAGCAGGACCCTGTCTTAAAAATAAAAAAGGCTGGTGATGTAGCTCAGTGTGAAGGCCCTATGTTCAGTCACTAGTGCAGCAAAATAATAATAAAATTTTAACCCCAATCCACAGCACTTTCATTGTCAGATGTGATTATTTACATACATTGCACTAACACCCATACAGATCCCCTGTCCACAGCACTGTGCCTCACAGCGGAGCTTGTTTCTAGTGCGAGTCCACATGCATTCTCCTGTTTCACCTTCTACCAGGTTTTTGCACATCGTCCTCAGGTTTCTGCAAACTGAGCATCCACTCTCTTCTCCCCGACAGCTCCGTCCTCCTGCATCCTGGCCTGAGACTTCAGCACAGCCCTTGTCTTGGGACTTGGCTCCTGATCTGTCTGGCTGGCGCCCCTTGGCTCCGTTGTCGTCTTCTCGGTTCACTCTATGTGTTGTTGGGCTCCGTGCTTAAATGGCTCTCAAAGCCACACGTGTTGGAGACAAGCTTTCCGAGAGAGCTTTGCATCATCCTCTTGCCAGTAGCAGCTTGAGTAGTGGTAGAATTCGTTCCCCATCAACACGTTGAAAGCTGTGCGTCACAGATTGGAGGGTCAATGGCCGATCTGGGTGCTTGTTGCTTCTCAAATGTTTTTTTTTTTAAACTTCCTTGAAGCTTTGAAGAGTGTAATCTTTGGTCTTTTGAATTTCCATGCTTTCACGCCTTGCTTGCGCATTTTGGTGGCTTGTAGCCTTCAGCTGAAGGAGTGTATCCATCTGGTATTTCTTCAAAAATTTACTCTTCATTTTTCCTTCCTGAACTGATACTCATTAGCAGTGAGGTTGTTTTAAAATGACCGTAAATGTCCCATGTTTCCTGGATTATTTTATTTCATTCCTTTTGGATTTTGTATTGTTTTTACTTTGGTCATTTCCATGAGCTCTTTCTTTTCTCTGGATGTTCTTTTTTTCATAAAGTTTTTTTCTTTTAATGTGGAAGGTTCTCAATTACCTTGGTGCTACTTAATAACAGGTTTAATTTAGTTTTTTTTTTTTTTTTTCCTGTACCAGGAATTGAACTCACGACCTTGCGCTTGCAGGCAGGAGCTGTGCCGCTGAGCTAAATCCCCAGCCCCTAGTTTTGTTTTGAAGTTCATGTTTTATTGCTTGTCTTGGTCTTTCTCTTTTATGTTGCAGTGCCAGGGATCCTCACTGTCCGGTCATATTTCAGACTGAGGCAGTTGAAATGCGAGTAAGGGCTCTGTGCATAGCCGGCTTGCTGACAGGCAGGTTCCAGCTAGGGTGACTTCCCAGGAGCCGAGCTTAGATAGGGTACGTGGGAGCGCTTTATTCTAGAACTCATGCATGCACACATAGAATACTCTTGATCCTCATCAGAAAACCCAGGGCATTTCTTTAGTGATCTCCTGCTTTTTAAGTTTTGGCCTGGCCTGATTTTCTGGCCTTGGGACAGCGTGGGGGAGTGAACAGCCGGTCCATGTCCAGGTCGTGCTCTTGTCTCCTTGCCTGGACCCCTGGTTGCCATCTGCACTCCCCACAATGCCAGCCACCTCTGCCCGGGACAGATCTGCTCCTTCCTCAGCTGCAGCCCTCCTTCGGCACTTCAGAGCTGCTTGGCCTCTTCTCTCCATGCCCTCTCCATCTGGTTGACATGGTTTTGTGTGTGTGTGTGTGTGTGTGTGTGTGTGTGTGTGTTTGTGTGTGTGATGTTGAAGATTGAACCCAGGACCTTGTTCAACCCTGGATCACACTTCTTATCTGTCAGTGACCCTCTACACTTTTTCTCTTCCTTGTGGGCTCATTAGTCTGTATTTTATTTTTTACTGTTATTTTAATAATTTCTCTGGAAGGAGAAGAAAGGGACAATTGTGTGTAGTATTTAAATAGGAAACCTGTTTGCTGTTACAAAAAAAAACCCCTGGAAATCAAAATACCACTTTGCTTCTTTTCAAAACAGTCTTTATTTCCTGCTTTGTTAGAAATGATGGTTCTCTTGAAAATATTTGCTGAGTGAAAGAAGGCAGTCATAAAGGTTCACATGTTCTGTGATTCCATTTATATGAAGTGTCCAGAGTGGGCAAATGCATGCAAATTGGATTTCTGGTGGCCTGGGGCTGGAGGCCTGGGGAAATGGAGGAATGTCTTAGTTACTTTTATCATTGCTAAGACAAAATACCCAATACCCAAAATTAAAGGAGGAAATGTTCATTTAGCTCACAGTCTATAGAGGTTTCAGTCCATAGTTGGCTGGTTCAGTGGCAGGGTGGCATGGCAGAGGGGCATTGCAGAGGAGAAACAGTTTGTGGTGGGCAGAAGGTAGCAAAGCAAAAAGGGACGACCACAGCTCTTTCTATTCTTTATATCTTATTCAGGCTACTTAAGGGCAAGTAGCACTCATACCCTTAATCCTAGTGCCCTTGAGCCTAGCATTGCACCATGAATCAATTCCAGTGTCACACACTCCTTTGAAAAAGCCCCACCTATGACCACATGAAACTTTGGGGGTATATCTAGACACAAGCTATAAAATGAAATGACTACCAATGAGCATGAGTGTCTTTCTTTTTTCTTTCCTTTCATCTGTGCTGAGGATGAAACCCAGGGCCTTATGTATCCTGAGCACATCCTCTATTACTGAGCTGCATTCCCAACCCAAGAGTGCAGGTTTCTTTTTGGATGATAAAAATTGACTGTAGTGATGGTGACACAACTCTGTGAATATATTAAAACTCATTAAATTTTGTACTTTAAATGAGTGAATTATATGAATTATATCTCAATAAGGCTGTGAAAAGTAGTGATTCATTATTGAATGTAAAAGGTCAGTTGTGATGGTGAGACTGCTAAATCATCTGATGGTATGTACAACCTTGTATTTATTAGGTTCAAAAATAAAGAAGCTGGTGTATCCACCTGGTTTCATGGGATTAGCGGCTTCCATCTATTACCCACAACAAGCTATCACTTTCATCCAGGTGAGTCAGACATAGTAAATTAGGATGTCCTTGATGCTTACTTACGTGGGATATATAGATTTGCTGCTTCACTGTATTTTATTTTGCCATATTTATAACACTTGACCAAAATTTGTTTGCACATATAGATGAACCACAACAAATCTAAATGTTTATGCCCTCTATTTACATCAACATTGGCCCTTCCAGTAATGACAGTGTTCAGAGAACACGCATGCAAATTTGTTGTTTTTTTTTTTTTTCACTGTACCAGGAATCGACCTCATGACCTCACACTTGCCAAGCAGGTACTGTGCTGCTGAGCTAAATCCCCAGCCCGCAAATTTGATTTTTTTTGTTTTGAGATAGGGTCTCACTGTGTAGTTCTGGTTGGCCTGGAACTCACGATGTTGCCCAGGCTGGCCTAAAATTGGCACTGATACTCCTGCCTCAGCCTCCCCAGTGCTAGGATTACAGGTGTGCACCACCACACAGGTGTGCACCATCACACCTCCTCCCCTCTCCTCCTTCCTTCCTTCCAGCTCTTGGTCCTCTTTCTCCCATTTTGATTTTTTTCTATTGGTACATTTTAGGTATACATAATGATCACATTCATCATAAGGAATCTATACCTGTATGTGATGTATCTTGTTTCTTTTTTGATTTGTTTTTTTCAGACAGGGTCTTACTATGTAGCTCAGGCTGGCCCTGAACTCACTATATTGGTCAGGCTGGCCTCGAACTCATACTGATCCTTCTGCCTCAGCCTCCCAAGCACTGGGATTACATGCATGTGCCTGCTAATTTGAATATTAATGTGAGAGGATTTAAGATGCCATTTTTGCATACTTACACAAAAGTCGAAAGACTGAATGACTGATAATACTTCTTAAAAATTTATTTTTATTAGTACATGTTTGCAGCATGTAATATTTACATGTGTTGAGGAGAGTAAATATACATAGCACATGTTAATAACACATATTAATTCTTTGTCATTCCTCCTCCCCTCTCCTCCCTTCCTTCCATCTTTTGGTCCTTTTCTCCCATTTTGATTTTTTTCTATTGGTACATTTTAGGTATACATATATGGATACATTTTTTGAGGAATCTTCACACTGATTTCCACAGTGGTTGCACCAGTCAACACTCCCCAAAACAACATTCATCATAAGGAACATATACCTGTATGTGATGTATCTTGCTTCTTTTTTTCCTATTCCTGTCCCCTCCTATCAACCTCTCTTCCCCTCCTTAGTTACAAAAGCTTTGTTTCCATTTTTTCCTTCTGTTCTTTTTTTCTTTTCCTTTCCTTCCTTTCCTCCTCCCCTATCCCTTATTCTCCTCATTTGAATATTTTTTTCCCATTTCCCATTTCTATTATACATTTTGATCCTTATTTACATTTTCAGTTTCTCACAACAAAGAAACAATGCAATATTTGAACATATATGTCTGATCTATTTCACTTAAGAGTATGGTGTCAAGGTGCATCCATTTAGGCAACAGCTGTGCCACTGAGCCACATCCCCAGCCCCAAGGTGCATCCATTTAGATACAAACATCTCAAGCTTATCTTTCTTTATGGCAGAGTAGTACTCCATCATATAAAATAAACACATCATGCCAAGTATGGTGGTATATGCCTGTATCCCAGCATCAGGAGGCTGAGGCAGGA